GGCGGGGCGGGGGCGGGCCCGTGGAGTGTCCTCCTTTGGGAGGCACAAAATATGGTAACCCTAGTCTAGACCAGTGGGACTGGGCTCTCTAGGTCCTACCACAAAACAAATTAATAATAAGTACAATAATAATAATGCAGAGTGACTGTTAGCAATAGCAATATAGGGCCCCTGACACCCTATTGAGCGGTAGTTCTGATTCCACTGGCTGGTGGACGGAGCACTAGCCTGTGCGTTACAACAGATCTGTATTTTCAAAGTTTTAAGTTGAATTAAATCTGGTTTGCCACCCCAGCAGACTGGCCGTATCCATTTATCCACAGAACAGGTACAGCAGCACAGTGGCAGTACAAGGTTCCCTCACAGGGCCCTGTCCATTGTGACTCACTGCAGATCTGAGGTGAGTCCCCCATAGCAGTGGTCACCAAACTTTTCATGTTGCCCCCCCCTTCTCCTCTCTGCACACACACACACACACACCCAGGAGCAATGGTTGGGAGCAGGGCTCGGCTCGGAGGTGGGGGAGACTTGGATAAGGGGCCACGGCTGGGACCACAGCTGGGGGGTAGGTCAGTTGCCAGGGCTATTTTGTGCCTACAGTGATGGTGTGTTTTTGTGATGTGATCACCTGCAAGGCTGTGCTGCCAACTCTTGCCCACTGATTACAAGGCTCATGATATTAGATGTTTTTCTTAAGGCCCCACCTCCTGGATTCATGAGAATATGTGAGAATCTCAGCTTTCATTTAGAAACAGTTGCTAATCCTCATGGTTGGTGCAAAAAGTTTGAAAATGTGACCTGAAGGTCCAAAAAGCTGTAGTCAAAGAAAAAGAACCCTAAATATATTATTAATTGTTATTATTTGAAATCTTATGATTTTTTAAGACAATCTCAGGATTTTGGGGTGATCGATTTGGGATTGGCGATTTTGGGATTGTAACAACTTTTAGCTATTACTGTCCCTGGACTGAAATTGGACTCAAAACTTAGAGGCAAAAGGCTCAGATGCAAACCTCTATTCCAACCAATAAGCACTTCTTGCACAGTTGAGATGTAATGAAAATATCACTATGGGCAGAGGTTTGCTTAGCCTTAGAGAGTGACATGGCCCTAAATCTACCAGAGAAAGCTAAGCTGCTTCCTTTGGGAGGTTTCATTGTCTTCTTTTAGTGGCTTCTGTAGCTTATTAATCATTAATTATTATTATTATATTTCAGGGTTTAATTTTTTTCTTTCCATTTTGGAGATTTATCATTGTGCCTGAGTATTAGTCTCTGAGGTGCCACAAGTACTCCTGTTCTTTTTGCGGATACAGACTAACACGGCTGCTACTCTGAAACCTGAGTGTGTAGTGTTGTATCATGCTTGTTAGTGTGACTTCCCAATGACAAACAGACGCGGAGCTGTGCAACGGTGCCTCACAGGCTCTATACTGCTAATGCTTAAAGGGGCTTCTCCTTTAGTTTGGTATGGGCCTATGCTTCTGGATCAAGAGGATCTGAGTTCTAGCCACAATGTCGTCATGAGGCGCCAAGAAGCTACAGTGCATAGCAGAATGACATCTCTAACTCCAGTAATCCTATGATTGCCCTTAGCTTTAAACTCACTACCGAGAATCTGTCCCTTGGTTTATATATGCATAGGCTGCATGGAGTCATTAATTGCAACAAGTATTAACAGCTACTGGTCTGTAGGGTTCTTCTCAACTGCAGCTTCCACTATAACAACAAGAGCCATATGAACCAATCCGAACATTTTAGCTTTTCACTCCCTGGCTTGGGCTGCCAAATATGTCTGAGCCAGAGAAATCTAGTCTCAGCAGGCTGGATATACAAACGTGAGAGGGGGAGGGGATCTGGTTTGTTTGGCTTGGCTCCCAACAGCACACCCACATGGAAGCGGAGATCTTTCTTGCCTTAAAGGGACAGTACCCTAAAACTCATTAGGGAAGCTTCGATGGAAACGGATATGTACACATAACTGACTTCAGGATGATGTAAGTGACTGAGCCATATTTAGGTTAAAGAATTCACATTTTGAAGCAGTAATCACCCCCTTCCCCCCCCCTACTTTCCAGCTTTGCTTTTAGCTGCTAAAGTTGGCCTAGATTCAGAATCAAGAACCTGGTTGTTATATTCTGCAAGTAATAGCATCATAAAGTCAATATTGTCTTTATTCCAAGGATTTATTGCCATGAGATGTTGTGAAGGCCAAAAGAAGAATGGGGTAAAAAAAGAACGAGATAAGTTCATGCAGGAGAGGCCCATCAATGGCTATTAGCCAAGATGCTCAGGGACACCCCCCCATGCTCAGGGAGACCCTAAACCTCTGACTGCCAGAAGTCAGGAGTGGAAGACAGGTGATGATCAGTCCTAATTGCCCTGTTCTGTACACTCCCCCTGGAGCCCTGGTACTGGCCACTGGCCAAAACAGGATACTGGGCAAGATGTTTTGACCCAGTATGGCAGCGCTTACGTTCTGATCAACAGCACAGCTTCTACTCCACTATTATTCCTATGATTTGTATTACAGTAGCACCTAATGGCCCCAGCCAAGTTCAGGGATTCGCTGTGCTAGCTGCTGTACATATACATAGTAGTAGGGCCTTACAATCTAAAGTAAACAAGATGGACAAAGAGGCATGGAAAGAGGAAGTGTCTTTTGCATATGCCTTTGATATTTGCAAACCAATTTATACTGTGTCAAATCAGGAAAGGAAAGGTAGAAAAATTAAAAAAAGGTTGAAAACAACAACAAAAACGGAGCAGATAGCATTAACATTGTAATGTAAGTATGCTCTCGCGTTACCATAGAATCATAGAATATCAGGGTTGGAAGAGACCTCAGGAGGTCATCTAGTCCAACCCCCTGCTCAAAGCAGGACCAACACCAACTAAATCATCCCAGCCAGGGCTTTGTCAAGCCAGGCCTTAAAAACTTTTAAGGATGGAGATTCCACCACCTCCCTAGGTAACCCATTCCAGTGCTTCACCACCCTGCTAGTGAAATAGTGTTTCCTAATATCCAACCTAGACCTCCCCCACTGCAACTTGAGACCATTGCTCCTTGTTCTGTCATCTGCCACCACTGAGAACAGCCGAGCTCCATCCTCTTTGGAACCCCCCTTCAGGTAGTTGAAGGCTGCTATCAAATCCCCCCTCACTCTTCTCTTCTGCAGACTAAACAATCCCAGTTCCCTCAACCGCTCCTCATAAGTCATGTGAACCAGCCCCCTAATCATTTTCGTTGCCCTCTGCTGGACTCTCTTCAATTTGTCCACATCCTTTCTGTAGTGGGGGCCCCAAAACTGGATGCAATACTCCAGATGTGTCCTCACCAGTGCCGAATAGAGGGGAATAATCACTTCCCTCAATCTGCTGGCAACGCAGCCCAATATGCCGTTAGCCTTCTTGGCAACGGGGGCACACTG